ACACCTCTCATCTATACAGGTGACCTGTGCCCTCATCGTAGCACTTTATGAGGAATGGGGTATGGAGAACCTATAGTAAGATGCTTTCTAAGTAAATAATTGGTGTCCTCTCTGACCCAGAATCCATACATTTTTGTCAGAAGAGTATTAATAAATGTAGATACAAAAAATTTTAAGAATATTTCTTCAGATTATTTCTCTGGTTTATCTAGATACATTTTTCTTTCTTGCTTATCTTGCTTATCCACTTTCTTGGATCTCAAAATCAATGTGTTTTATGGAACTGGGAAAATTCAACTATCTCTTCAATATTTTCCCAATGCCTAGAAACCACTGCCCTGTGTATCTGTTAAGTTTATAGCTGTTTACAGGAGGAAGAGTAGTCCAGAACCAGTTACTTTTTAGTGGTCTGAAATGGCATGTCTACCATTTTTGTAACTGTTAATGACTCTGTAATCAATATATCCTGCCAAGTGTCTCTTTTTAAGCTTTCAATATATATATGCCACCTTTCTGCTTTTTAAGTTATGATGTCCCACACTGAGTTAGCTCGAATTCAAAATCTAGTTCACAGATAAATTCATTCACCGTTCCTTCAAACCTCTTTATTTCAAGAATGGCATCAGCAATTACTCATGCTTCTGAGACAAATATCTTAACATTAAATCTAAAACTCAACCTTTCATTCATCTTTGTGGTTGACAGGACAATGTCCCCCTCTCCATAATGTCCACATCTGGGCCTATGGAACCCATGAAACTGCTACTTGACATAGCAAAGGAGACTTTGCAGATGTGATTTAGGTAAGGATTTCAAGATGAGATTATCCTGATAGGTACAATGCAACCACAAAGTCCCTTTAAGAGACAGGTAGGATCATAAAGCAGAGATCACAAGGTTTTGAAGATGCTGCAATACTGCTTTAAAGATGGAGGAAGGGGCCACGAGCATCTAGAAACCAGAAAAGTCAAGGAAACAGATTCTCCCTTACAGCCTCCAGAGGAACACAGCTCTCTCTCACATTAAGTTGAGCCAAATAAAACAGATTTCAGACTTTGATCTCCAAAACTCTAAGATAGCAAATTTGTGTTATTTTAATTCACTAAGTCTGTGGCAATTTGTTACAGTAGCAATAGGAAACTAATACAATTCTCACTATCCTGAGGAAACAATCTCATTCTGTTAGGTCCTTGTCATACCTTATCCCATGCCACTGATCATACATGCCTCCTCTCCAGGTCTACTTGACCAGCTTCTAATCTTTTCTTCCCACCATCAGTTTACCCTGCAGCAACCACACCTAACTACTCTCCTCCTGTCTAAACATAATGATGGTGCTAGAGTGATATTCCTAAAATTATAACCCATTTGTGACATTTCATTTTTAAAACTCTCCAAAGGAGAGTTATACTTTCAAGATAACTTCAAATACAAGGACCTTCATATTCACCCTGCTTCCTGTTGTCTGTTTTCACTGTCCGCTACGTACTCCTCGTACTCTGCTCTTCATCATCTGGACAGCACTCCAGGGATGTCACATTCATAATGTGCTCACCCTTCCTTTCCTTTTCTATTTATGACATTCAGTTAGTACTCATTGAGTAAATGATTATCATTTCCCTATCATCAAGAAACTAGATTAATTTAACCTCATAAATCTGATATTCAGACTAATGCCCCACATAAATACATCTGCCCCAAATAAATACATCTGATGTATTTGCACATATATTTCTTTACACAGGGCAAACAACATCGTTTACCTACACTGTGGGAAAATGCCTATTCCCATTGGTGAAAAAGAGTTAATTTTCCAAATGAAACAAATGATAATAGACTCTTCTTTCATAGCAGTGTTCATTTACAGGCCTACTGAGGAAATATTTATTAGCTTAACTACCTGCTATCAAACTGGAGTTGTGAGGGTATGACCCTTCCCACTGTCTCACATACTAATTAACGTAAGTCCATTCAGAAATGCAGCTGCTTGTTCTTTCATTACAACCTGAAAAATCTGATAATGTCATTGTCTTTAAAACTGTCCTCGAAGTTGTTATGCTGCATATAATATCTAAAAAAGAAGAGTAAAACAATTCTGACATAGGACTATTATAAAATTATGTACAGAGGATGTACAACTCAGACTGGGGAAAGGGTAAAAGGAACATGAAGATTCCACAAATCAGTACTACTCGAGTTAATAGTTTAAGAAAAAAAATTCAATGGCAGTCACAACAAAGAGGATTTGAATAAACAGATGTATAGAACGTGAAGCATTGACATGCATTTCAGAGAGCTGCTCATAGTTTAGTTTCACTGGAACATGGAAAAAATGTGTATGGGGATCAAGGGGAATGGGTAGATAAGGAGACAGTGAAGTAGGTGGACATGGAAAAGGTCTCATGAATATAGGAAACTGCATCTCCTAAAAAATGAGGATGCTTTTTCACAGAAGTGTGGCGTGATCAAAGTTGTTCTTTAGGTAATAATTTGTCAGCAGGATTTGACTGGCTGACAGAATTTCCACAACAATGAAAAAAGGAAAACTTGTTAAGATTTTGTAGGCATGGAGATGAGACAATAATGAGATTATGACACAAGGATATAGCACTGAGATTGAAAAACAAGGTTACACTGGAGTATTATTTGAGAGTTAATATGGGATGCTGTAGTTACAAAAACAAGGGCTTTGGATTGGGACATAGATGTAATCCCAACCCAGCTACTTCTTAGAATAGTTATTGAAGCAAACTCAGGCAGGGTAATAATACTTACTTCATTTGTGGAATGAGATATATCATAGAAAAAGGAATGTGTACAGTTTGTGGTGATAGGTGCTCGGCAAATGAAAGATGTTTGCAATTTATATACACCAATCACAGAGTTTGGCCACGGATTAGATGTAGCAAGTATAAACGTAGTAGGAATGTAGGATTAGTCTAAAATTTTCAGCTTATATTACTAGATGATTTCTGGTAACATGTACTAAGGCATTGAGAAAGAGAAACATCAATTTCGGTGAGAAAAACAAGTCTTGAAATAGATTTTCAACTCTTCCAACTACAACAATAGTGTTATGAAAAATACAGCCAATACTCATTTTTTAATCACACCTTTTTTACGATCTTGCATTTATTTTTGTGTAATAATGTCATATAGCAAACAAGAACGTAGACCCAGGAGTCAGGATGCCTAGACTCAAATCCCAGTTCTACTGTTTCCTAGATGTGATCATGGGTAACTTACTACATTTCTCTGTGACTATTTCCTCATTTGTAAAATCTCAGAGAATATGAAAATTAAGTAGGTTAACATTTTTAAAGTGCTTCCAACAGCATGTCCTCACTCTGATACAGAAGTTTAAGATATTTTCTTTATATTTTGATTAGTTGTTCAGTAGCCTTATAAGGAGAGTCTCCCCAAAACCCTTCCTGCTTCTACATCTCTCTCTAGTCCTCCTGATAAAATAAGCAAAAGCTTAGTTGGGAATTCAAAAGTCTCTGACATTCACTTAACATGACAGGTTAAGAAACATGATCATTTTACAAAGCAAATTTTAGATCTGATGCATGCTGAGCATCATACATTTGCTGTGGGGGTATTAAAACCATCTATACTCTATACTTGACAAATGAAATTCCATATGCATAGCAGATTTACAGGGTAAAACTTGTTGAAATTTACAACTGCTAGAAGCCTCCAAAATAAAACTTTCTCCTCCAGGAAGTTGGTTTTTTTTTTCTTAACTTTATTAGAAATATATAATAAAGAGAAATTCTTATATGCCTAAATCAAAATGTCAATAGTTTTACAAAGGTCTATGAATGTTACATTCTGGCATAGAAGCAATTATATAAATTTTTCAACACCTAAATATATCTCTTAACTTTGGGTAAGTCCAGTTGCATTACTGTGGAGAGTTTTATGTTTTGAAAAATTATGATAGCCAGCAGTAGAAAGCCTATATAATTTACCACTTCACAGAATATAACTTTTAAAAAATACCACCTACTGTAGTTTATGTGGAGAAATAACAGATTTGAGGTCAATTCTGTAATTTATGGTAAGAGAATAAATGACTTACTATCATAAGATTTCTCCTTTTGATTCCAGGCATACATCCTGTAGACACCTAGGACAGAATTATAGTTCAGCCAGAGTTATGCCTAATTATGGCTCACAGTCAGAATATCCATATTTTAACCAAAAGAGCGACCTGTAATTAGCTCTATGAGCCAGCTCCTGCATGGTTGGCATTGTGACTTTCCCAAATACATCTGATGAACCTCACCGGGTTCTCCACAGCCTATTTCATAAGTAATACTAAATTTAATACTTTTAAAAGATTTTATTCATTTATTAATGAGAGACACACAGAGAGAGGCAGAGACATAGAGGGAGAAACAGGCTCCCTGCAGGGAGCCCGATGTGGGACTCGATCCCTAATATTTTTCTATATTAATCAAAATTACTATCAATAAAATGCTTTTTCAAAAAGAGTACTCAAAATGGCATCTTTTGCTTGTTATACATCAAAAACAAAAAGCAGGAACATTTTAAAAAATATAACAAACATGCTGTGTTCTGCTCAGAATAAAAGGATATGTTTTCGCAGACTTTCCTCAAATGTGATGTTAGAGAAGGAAGAGAACGTGATAGATAAGATGACTTTTTCCTCCCTCCATCCCATTCTCACCTATCCCCTAAGCGGGATCCAAGTTATAAACTGTTTACAAAACTTCTAGACCAATTTACTAATTCTGAGGTGTATGTGTGCACACACACGTGCACATGTTCAATAGAGCTTTTAAAATTTACAAGTATTATGTCAATTCTATTAAAATGTGTACATTATTCTACCATTGGATTTTCTTTTTATGTCAACATTGTGTTTTTGAGAACCATTCAAACTGCTAAACTGTTCTGTTTCATTCTTTTCAACTGCTACGGTGCTAAAAACTTTGCACGGCTTACCGGGGGTTGATAGAGCCGTTGACCCTGGACTTCCCATCTGAAACCAGGGAGGGGCCAGAAGACATAGCACAACATTTTTCAGCTTCTGAAAGAAAAGAACTGGCAACCAGCACTGTTTTATTCCATGATTTCATGATTCACAAATACATGTTTCTGAATGTTCTGTACCACTGACCTATTTGACTTTTTCTGCTTTAGTAGAGCACGATTTTAATTACCCAGGTTTATTTTTTTTAAAAAAGTGTTCATATCTGGAAATCAATTTCCTCTTCACTGCTTTTAATATATTCTTGGCCATTTTTGGACATTTATACCTCTATATAAATTTCGTAAGAAATTTGTTAATTTCTACCAACACTTGTTGGAATTTGACTGGAATAATGGTATCTTGAAGACAGTCAATTTTCCCATCAATGAAAATAGTAGAGTTTCCTTTAATTTAGGATATATTTTGTGTCTTTCAATAATATATTTTTTATATAAAGCCCTTACACTTCTTTATTTAAACTTATTTCTACAAATCATAAATCTGTTGTTCCTTCAGTGCACCTCAATTTATAATACTTTTTATTGTATCAGCATCTCATATATTCAACATGTTTTTAATATATTAAGATTTGTGTATTTCACACAAAACAAAACAAAGCCTAAGTGTGAACCACCAGGCTCTTTAATCAAAAAGCTAGGATTTTATTTCAATACTCAACTTTATTTCAAATTGAGTACATATGAATTACAGAGGAATACTACATTAGCATTCAATATGGCACCTTCATTAGGATAAAAAATACTTAAGGGTTATTTTGATCTTTTTTTTTTTTTTTGCATAGACGATTTTTTTGGTAGTGTTCAACAATTCATCAGTTGCATATAACATCCAGTGCCCATTATGCTCTGTGCCCTCCTTAATGCTTGTCACCCAGTTACCCCACCTTCATCTATCTACCCTCCAGCAATCCTCAGTTTGTTCCACATAGCTAAGAGTCTCTTCTGGTTTTTCTCTCTCTCTGATGACATCCCATTCAGTTTTCTATCCATTCCCCTATAATTGTACTAATACTTTAATTCTTTAAACTTCCCATAATGATATTTTCTATGTCTTACAGAGAGGTGATATTTACATAATCTGTGTCTTTGATCTAAGTACAGTATGATATTCAAGCCGTGTAGATGAAGGTTTTAGTTTATTTTACAAGTCTTAAGAATTCAAGAGTTAATATTTAGGTATAGCGATGACCAAACTTCAACTATTTCCTTTTAAAAAAGAAAAGATCATTAATTATATCCTTTCATATTTTTTCCATATGGTTGCCAAAGTCCCTTGCACTGCATTGGAGTATCTCTTTGATTTATGCTTTCCCCTCTTGGTAAAAGCCTCTTAGCAAATAAAGATGCCAGAACAAGTAATATGGAGGAAAATAATGGGGGGAAAGCCAAGAGAATAAATGAATGGAAATATGAAGAAAATAACTTCTGGAGAGCATCTATTCTATGCCTTAGTAAGTTCATCAATCCTAAAACCAAGGCTACAGTATTATTTCTCCTTTGCGGTAGAGGAAACTAAGGCCTTTGAATTAACATTCTCAAGTCCCCACAAGCATGAGGGAAAGCATAAGAATTAAAACCAGATCTCTCCAATCAAGGATCCATGTTTATCCAATTTTCAGATTTTTTTATAATCCCCATGCTAATGGCCCTAGGTGTGTTTTGGAAATTCCGGGGGGCATTTTCAGTTGTCAAAATGTTTCTAAGTGATTGCTGGTATTTAATGGGCAGTGCTCTTGGATAATGTCTAGACATCTTCGAATATTAAGGCAATCATACACAATGAAGAAAAAGACTGTGTATTCTGTAACATGGAAAATTTCCCAAGAGGATGCCACCGAAAAATCTGCTTATATAATCTTATACAACTTGAGCCTAACTCCACTTTGCATATAAGCAGAAAGCTTTTTTTTAAAGTTTTAATATATACTGAATTTTCCAGAAATGCTATTTCTGGGTAATTCAGGAGGAAGATTAGATTTTGTTTTGTTTGGGAATTTCCCAAGAGCTATTCACCATTTCAAAAATCTCTTCGTTCATGACATTGCTGTCCATGGTATTTAAGTTGCCAGAGTAACTTAAGTTGCCTTTATCAATCTAGGAATTATAGCTGGCAGTCACGTTGTTATTTGGTCCTCATATATAATTTCAAGTATAAAGAAAATAGATCAAAATGCCCGTTATTAGTATTTTCTCCTAAATTAGTATTTCTCTCCTAAATAAAACCTCTCTTCATTACAAAATGTTTGCAAGTATCTAGTTTCATCTTTATGTCAACTAATGTAGTTAATCTCATATATTTTAATAAAGAAGCATTACTTTATTATGAATTATTTTCTTCATATTATAATTAGACCTTAGACCACTGTGTTGAGGTGTTTTTTAAAAAGGTTTTATTTATTTATTCATGAGAGACACAGAGACAGAGAGAGGCAGAGACACAGGCAGAGGGAGAAGCAGACTCCATGCAGGGAGTCCAACATGGGACTCGATCCCAGGTCTCCAGGATCAGGCCCTGGGCCGAAAGCAAGCATCAAACCACTGAGCCACCCGGGCTGCCGTGTACTGAGGTTTTAAGCTGATCTGTGAAGGTTGGTTAAAGTATTATGAATTTCATTCAGGACATGCAAGTTGATTCAACTTGATTAAGAGGTCGAGAATTAATGCTTTCTATCACAATGCAAATTTTGGTAAGGTCTATGTTGAACACTTTTCAGAATTAAAAAAATTAACTTAAATATAGAACATAAGTTAAAGAGTGTCCAGCAGTAAGCACAAAAGTGTCCTGGGTCTTAAGAGTGACTCTTCAACATCTATTCTACCTTCCCCACACTGTTAAATAGCTTAAGGTTTGAAGAATTTACACTCAGTCAAGCCTGTTCCCTAAACTGAAATTAGGGACTATTACTTCATTGGTGGTAACCGTGAACAATTTCTGACTAGGTAAAATTGCTATAGACTAATGAGCAAGCCCTCTCTTACTCTTAGAGAACTGAGAAACCAGTCTTGGGCCAGACTTAAACAAAGACTGTATATTCCAGTTGATGCAGGCAGCCATACAACTACTGGAGAACTGAACTCAGGATAAAGCCAGACCTGTGGTCATTAGAATAGACAGAAATTCTTTAAAGACATTGTTTAAATTCATGCATCTGCCAACCTTGAAGTATATACAACCCGTATGCTTTTTTTTTTCAGGTCTGCAAACATGTTTCTTCATAATTTATAGTTCAACTTCCTTCTGATCATCTGAAGGAGCAAATGTCATAAACCCATAACATCTCTTCAACACTTGCTTATCTCCCCGATTAACAAAGAGAAAATGTCCTCTAAACTTAGATCCTTCAGATGGTAACAGTATTTCACAAAGTAAATACACTCATGTAACCAGAATTCCGATAAAGAAACAGTATCTTTCAGCACCCAAGAGTCTTCTGAGTGGCCCCTCCCAGTGACTACCCATAAAGGTAACTATTACCCTGTCTTCTAACAACCTAGAATAGTTTTCCCATGGTTGTAATCCTACTGTAAGCACACTATGTCAGGTTGCTTTCTCTCTCTCTCTCTCTCTCTCTGAGAGGAAGAGAGAAGGAAAAACAAAGAGAATCAAAGAGAAAGAGAGAGAAGAGTGAGAGGAGGGGAAGAGGAAGAGAGAGGATCTTAAGCAGATTCTATATTGAGTGTAGGGCCCAGCTAGGGGCTTGATCTTACAACCCTGTGATCATGACCTGAGCCAAAACCAAAAGGCAGATGCTTAAGTGACTGAAACACCCAGGTGCCCCTCTTTTTCTCCAATTTATTTTTATAAGATTCATCCATGATTTGTATATAGCTCCAGTTCCATCTTTTCCATTATTATATATCATTACAATTATTTATTTATCCATGCTCCTAATGATGGACATTTGTTTTGTTTTTTTCAGTTTTTAATTATTAGGATTAGCATTGCTGCAAAGATTCTATGATGAACTTATGTCTGCATTCTTGGAGAGTATATACCTAGGAAGGAAATTGAGAGGACACAAAGTCTTCATATGCACGGCTTTATGAAATACTACCAGGGGTTTTCAAACTATTTGCATGAGTTTATGCCAGAAGGGTATGAAATTTCTAATTGTTCCACATCCTTGTAAAATTTGGATTTGTCGGTTAAAAAAAATTAACCCATTTGAGGGATTCCTATTGCATCTCACTATGATTTTGATTTACATTTTCCTAATGACTAATGAGGAAAAACACATTTCATGTCTTCTGGTCACTTACATATCTCCTTTTGTAATGCTAAAATCTTTTATTTTTCTATTTGTGTGTTTATCTTTATCTTAATGATTTTTAGGAATTTTTGTATATTCTTGATATCAGTCCTTTCCTAGCTCTACATACTACAAATAATTTTTATCCTGATGTCATCGCTGAAACACTGGGTTTAACGGTTCTGTGCTATAAATGTTGAGTAAGTGGCCCTGCAGAGATAAAAGAAGCCCTGATTTATAATGTCCACTGATTTTTGTGGTGTAAATATACCCACCATGGGACCGATTCAAGGTAACCATCTGATGTCATCAAACAGATTTGTAGTAGGGCAACATTTTACACTATTTCCGTCATAGAAATACAGAAGACGGAAATAAGCTTGAGCATAAATAATAGAGAAATAATTAAAAAGCGATGTATTTTGAGTACTCATCACTTCAATTTTTAGTAAAATTTATTTTTGATAAGTTTATATAATTTGATTTTTAACAAAGACTGTGTTTAATAGTCCACAAAATTCCTGAAAATTATGTCTCCCAAGCCAGTACAAGCCAACTCCAGCACAGTACTGACACCACCATTCCTATGAACTTTCTCATAAGTGGGCAAGCATATATTTTTATTAATATTATCTTCAATAGGGCAGCCCCGGTGGCTCAGCGGTTTATTGCCGCCTGCAGCCCAGGGCGTGATCCTGGAGACCCTGGATCGAGTCCCACGTCAGGCTCTCTGTATGATGCCTGCTTCTCCCTCTGCCTGTGTCTATGCCTCTCTCTCTGTCTCTATGAATAAAAAAATAA